AGAGTTCAAGCCCCACAACCAGCCAAAAACAAAAACAAACAAAAAAGCAAAAGGGTTAAAGGTCTATAGTAAGTGGTAGAGTCCTTGCTTAGCACACCTTCAATCCTTAGACTGAATCTTGGATTTAATCCCCAGTATCACAAAAAAAAAAATCAAACCCCATAGAACTATGTCCCTTGTAGAACTAGATCATTTGTGCTTGTCTTCTTATGGGTTAGTCCCTTAGTAATATGAAAAAAATCACAACAATAAGCTTATTTCAGATTGACTTGCTGCCAGATTGTCTCTAACCCACCTCCCCACATGGAATATATCCAGTCTGGAACGTGATGGCTTCTGGGTGACTTATGCTAGCCTTTACTACTCGTACTCAGTTGCATATTTCTACGTCTCCAGAGACCACAAAGCTCACGTTCTCTCCACCCAACCCTGAAAGGCAGAACTCACAAGATGGATGAGTTGGGACTCGGACAGTACTGGACAGCTCCAGCTGGCATGAGGGTGTCCTCCTGGGCACCGCCTGGCTTCTCAGCCTTCCCCTCTCAGTCACTGCTGGCAGTGCCTCATCCACTCTAGTCTCACACTTCTGATGGAAACCTGAAGTCCTGTGGCTCGGGACCGTTCCTCAATTAGAGACTTTTGGCCTGGGAAGGCCTCATTGCCTTAGTTGTCTCATCTTTAGATAACAAGCACCTAGGATGTTAGTTAAAATGCAAACTCTTATTTAACTTTAAATACTAAAATAGTAAAGTAAAAATAAGGTCAAGTGGCACACATCTATAATCCCAGCATTTCAGAGACAGAGGCAGGAGGATTGTGAGTTCAAGGTCAACCTTCACCTAACACAAGAAGAGCTCTGTTTTAAGGAGAGGGGAGGACCCAACTCCCAGATCCCTCCCACTGATATTCTGATTCAGGGAAGGGATGGCCTGGGGAATTTGGTTAATTCACCTCAGATGACTCAGTGCCAAAGGTCTTGGGAATCCAGGGAGATTTTGGGGGCCCCAGGTTATTTAGGAGAATCATGGGAATGTGATTATGATTGTGTGGTTATACTGTTAAAAAATAGTTCTTACCATTCAGAAACAGACACTGAAGTATTTGCAAATGAAATACCATTTTCAAAACTTACACGAGGGGCTAGGAAGGTGGCTCAGTGGTAGAGTGCTTGCCTTGCATGCATGAGGCCCTGGGTTCGATTCCTCAGCACCACATAAGCAGAAAAAATAAGCCAGAAGTGGCGCTGTGGCTCA